TTTGTATATAGTATGTGCTCAATATATACTTATTAAGTAAATGTATGAATGGTGTTCACAGTAAAACTTCAATAGATGTTACTGAACCAGCTAATTATGTGCCAGAACCATTCTAAATACATGAATTAACTCATTTAACCACCCTAAGGGTTAGGTACTACCGTTATTATTCCCATTTTGCAGATTAAAAATTTAAGGCGAGGGTTAAGGCTGAGAAATTAAGGTTAAGCAGTTTGCCTTAGTCATACAATGGCAAAGCCAAGACTGGAACTCAGGCACTCTGAGCCCAGAGCCTACACTCTTACTGAAAGACCTGAAGAGACAGAGAATTAAATTATATTCCACATAACCAGTATGTTAAGTTTATTTTATTACATTATGTCTCTGAAAATTGATTATACGCTGATTATTTGATTAACCAAAATACTTCATTCCCTGATCTTTGTCCATCAATGTTTCTGATATAATATGTGCAAAATGCACATTTAACAGTTTTCATACCACTTCTAAAAGCATAAACACAGTATAAAACAGAGCAACTGTTGCTCTGGGAACCTGTACTTTTAAGTTTCCAGTAATAATGTTGAGCTAAAAGACTGGTATACTTACCTATGACTTTAGTAAAGAAAAAAAGAAAAAACACCTCCATAGACTCAACAAGCATATCAGAAGTAGTAACTAGCAAACAATATTTCTTGAAAACTAAAATGTAGGGATTTTTTTCAGGCACAAGAAATTCTAAACAGAAATAGCTTACTTCTACCTTTAGACTTTCCCCAAATTATACGATTTCATTCCTACAAGGAGAAGAATCACATCTCACTGTCAGCCATGCAAATGTCATTTCAGGAGTACACACACACAAAGTTTCACCCAGTATCTTAGTGCACATTGTCCCACTTAATTAAATCAAAGTATAATTTAACAGCCAAAACTAGGTATGTGTCAATTTTAAGTTTTCCTTCTAATTAATCCAAAATCGAACAATAAAATTTTCCTTTAGTTTCCTTTAATGAACCTTTAATTCAATCTGAATACAGTTAACTATTTTATTTATAATTATAAAATGGACCACACAGTTTCTCACTTAATAGCTATTATATCTTCTGTGTCCTATAAGTCTCTACAAGTAGAAATATTTGCTAGATGATAATCTGCTCATTAAGTAGGCATGTAAAAAAAAAAAAAGGCAATGATCTGCAACTTCTGAAACTCATATATGTATATTTGTCTCTTGGTTACAGGAAAGCACTTCTCTGGCTATTTTCCCAAATAAACTGGTAATCCTTGGGATAGTCACTGCTTAAATTCCACTTCATGGCGGTTTCTCTTCCTCCATAAATTGAGAGTCATGCCTACTTCCACTCATTACATAATACATGTCCACCACAGGACTGGTTTTCTGAACAAGAAATAGCTTAAATGACACTGACAGGTAAGGTCAGAGAATATTGTAATCTAACAGGGAGCAGGGATCTAGAAAAGATCCTGATTCACGGTGCTAAGTTGTGAAACGCTGACGTGAAGAACACTGAACACACACTGTTTACTCTTAGTTAACATTTCCCTACAAGTGAGACAAGGGCTCCCAAAACGTTTTAAAAGCACTTGACTCCAAAAACAATTCTCAGAAGTTGAGGGGCCTACCTAAAAATAAAAAATAAATTCCACTTCATTCTTAAAACATTTAATAAAGATTGCAATAAATACATCTGCAATTAAGAAAAATAATCTCCAATAATTCCTTGTTGAACGCAAAATGTCTAAATGTCAAGGTCTACTGAATAAGGAGCCGCAAAAGACAGGTGTGCTTTAAAACATTTAAGCGCTTTTCATATAATTAGCTCCAACACAAGTGTTCGAATTGTTCATCCACGCAAAGCAGTCAACCACAACCACCTGCAACTATTACTTAGAAAGGTGTCTTCCAAAGGAACCACCTGAGTCTCAGGCCTTCTCTGAAGGGGCCAGGATAAAGCCTGTGAAAAAGGTGGTATAAAGAGATCTTTTAAGCACAGGAAAAAAACTGGAAGACACCACCTTTAAGGAGCTAAACGTAATGCGACCTATACCCTAATGGTTGCTGCCAGAAAGAAGTTGTCTACACCCAAGATCTCCCTCTTCTCGGGTGTAAAACTCCATCCACGCTCATGATCTACCTGAGCCAAAGCAAAGGGATTCTCTTCCCTCTCCGATCCACCGCCCACCCCGCTCAGAAGAGAAAGAATCAAAACCCCGAAGTAGAATTGTGAGATCGAGCGCTGTAGCTTCTCCAGCTGCCTCAAAGGCAACATGTACAGCTCACGTTCCTTTCGAAATACAACCCTTCATCTTCCATCTCACCATTTCACCAAAAAAAGAAGAAAAAAAGACTCTTCAACATTTTGCATCACTCACCTAAACCCACAGATCCGCCCCAACCGCACCCCAACCTCGTGGCTCCCCGGTTTCTCCGTCTTCCCACTACCTCGCCCCAACATCACGCCTCCTAGACCTCCCACCTTCCGTCCTCCGAGCGCCCAGAGCCGCCGTCTCCCACCTCCCACCTCCCGCCCCGGGTCCCCCACGTCCACCGCGCCAGCTCCCGCCCAAACCGGAGCGCTGCCGGGTGGAGACCGCGGGTGGGCTGGGGCGCGTTAGGGTGGGGTCCGCCCCTCCCCGGACTTCCCCACCCCAGGTCTGGCGAGGAGGGGGAGGGGGTCCCGAAGCCTCACCTACCGCTCCGCCCCTCCCCGGGGGCGTTCTGCCCTGCCCAGCCAGGGCCGTGAGCGAGAAGCCGGGCAAGCGGCGAAAGCCCCAGCGCCAGCGACGGGCGGGAAGCTCCAGGTCCCGCCCGACCTCCGCGCTGCCGCCGCCGCGGCCGCCGCACGGTCCTCGGCGCTGCCGCTGTCGCCCCCGCCGCCGCTACCACTGCCGCCGCCGCCGCCACAGCCACGGCCCGGCCCGGGCGCCCGCGACGTCACCGCGCCCCGCCCCCTGCGCGAGACACCTAGCCCCGCCCCGCCGCGCCCGCCGCCTCGCCGTCCCTCGCCCTCCTGGGGGCGCGGCTGCGCGGCCCTCCCGGCGCTCGCGGGCTGGGGGCTGGAAAACGGGGGCGAGTCGGCGCCGCGACGGCGGGTCCGCGCCAAGCAGAGCCACGGGCGCGGAGCGTACCCACGTACCCACACACACCCACGACCCTGCGGCCTCGCGGGGGAGAGCCGCGGCCGGCGGTGCGAGAGGCGGTAGGTGCGAGCGAGGGGCGGCGGCGTTTGTCTCCTCCTGCTTGCCGTAGGAAGCGCGCCGCTGGAAGCCGAGCGGAGTCGAGTCTTTCCCAAACCGTAGAGTCGCCCCACCCCCTCCTCGCGGGCCCGTTACCCGGCCCGGACGGCCCCCGCCGTGGGGAGCAGCCCTGGGCTTCTCCCTGGATTCCTGGCCACACTGGGCAGCCTTGGTCCAAGGGGGGCTGGATTTCCCCCGTCCCCCGTTAGCTCTTGCGGAATGCGGCCGCGGAAGGTGGCACTGTGACCTGAGGCACTGGGCATGTCCGCGCGGGCATCGCGGAGACCCTCCCCGGTGCACGTCGTTTTCCTGCGGTGGTTTTGCCAGGAGGGGAGAGCGAGGTGGAAATTAGCGTCCACGGTCCGGCCCTGCGCTGTGCCAAATACCGTGCGACCGTAGCTGTTCTGTTTAGCCGTCACGACAGCTAGGAGAGGCTTTTCCAAAGTAGGGCCAGGTTTCAGGCAGCCCAGTTTTCCTGCGCTGAATCGCAGCCGGTTTTCTTTTGTCGGAGCCGTGCACAGAGGGTAACTACAGCCATTAATTTAAGGAGGTAGATAAGCTATCTCTAAACCAAGAGAGTAAGAATGGTGTGAATTATATTTACTCCCAGCCTTCCAGTGGTTATTAAAATAATTTAAAATGTCTTTGAGAAGAGCGAAGAGTCATTTTTACCTCCGATCACTGTAATTAACCAGTTTATACTCCCTCGTAATACCCACGAACGTTTTCCCTCCGCTCCTCGGTACACGCATCCATTACTCACCAACTTCTACTGTTTCATCCCGCCCAGGCCCTGACCGTCCCCTCCCGGGATCGCCACACGCTCGGATCACCGCCGTTGCTGGGCCTGTGCAGTCTCCCCTCCAGCACTTCCAACACAGGACCGCCAACTGTTGGACGGTGTGCTGCCAGACGAGCATTACAAAATATTTCATTTCTTGAACAGCCAGAAAAAGCCATCCTGTCACTATTTTTCAAGACCTTTCTCATCTGACCCCTGACCTGATGACTCCCCAGCAGTGTGGTAAGGTAAAAAAAACAAACTGGGAGTCAGTATATCTTTCTGTTCTCCATTCTGCCGCTGTCTGCTTGTGTGACCTCAGGCAAATCACTTTACTTTGGGGTCCTACATAACTGTAAAAAGGGTTTGAACTAGGTGTCTGAGATCCATCACATCCCTGAAACATGTGGATCCGGAGGGGTAAGAGGCTGAGCACTAAGTTATACACAGGAATATTGTGGTGACACAGATTCAGATTTTTTTTTTTTTTTTTGGCCACTGCACTGGTTGTTTTTTCTTGTTTGCTACCCTGCCCCAGGTATCTTTTTTTAAACCTACATTTAGGATTTTTTTACTAAAGCTGGCTGAGTACATGCATTTATTACCTCTTCTTCCTGAGACCTCATAAGATGATAATAAAGGAAGAAAAATCATTTTTTTAAAACCCTATACAAAACAGAAAATGAGAAACGGACAATTGGAAGATAAATTTTTTTTCATTTGGCATGCACCAAAGTAAGTGTGGTCCGACTAAACCAAATGGAGGAAACCATAATGTAGAATGGGTACAGAGAATGCTGCAGGAAGGAAAGGGGCCTGTCTACCCAGAATTGTTTTAAAGAGACTAAGATTTGGAGACACACAAGACAGAGGGCAAGAGAAGCAGGGCTGAAAACGGGGAGACTAAATAAAGGTCTGTATATGGAATGAAACGGCAGAATCCTCTCTCTATCTCAGATAAAATAACTAGGCATTTATCTCAGGCTAAAAATCAAGTGTTCTCATAATCTCTGGGGAGAATTTGGGCAGCTGTTATGAGTGTTGTTGAATGCCTAAGAATAAAGTATTCTTTATGCTAGCACAATAGCTGGTTTCCTACCCACTCACAAAGTGAAGTTGAGCAAGTTGGCAGGAACTTCCTGCTGGGTTTGGATATGGTTGGTTTGTCCCCACCTAATCTCATGTGGAAATTTGAGCACTGGTAGTAGAAAGGTATTGGGAGGTGGGGCCTGGTGGGAGGTGTTTAGGGAATGAGGGAGGATCCTTCATGAGTTCCTCGTGCTGTTCTTACAGTAGTAAGTGAATTTGTGCTCTGGCAAGACTGGATTGGTTCTCAGGGGAATAGATTAGTTCCCTTGAGAGTGGTTTGTTGCAAAGCCAGGGTGCCCCTCGGGTTTAGTCTCTTCACATGCGCGTGCCTCCCCTTGACCTTCGCCACGGTTTGGTGCAGCACAAAGCCCCTCACCAGCAGCTGAGCAGATGCTGGTGCTGTGTTTCTTGTACAGCCTGCAGGACCGTGAGCCCTTTACTTTATAAATCACCTAGCATCAGGTATCCCTCTCTAGCGACACCTCCCACGTTCACAAGACTCCTCATCAACATTCCAACCGCCTCATCGTAAATATGAGCAGAAGACTAAGGATTATTAGATATTTAGGGGAAGTAAGTCTCTGACATGGGGGGGAAGATAAACAGAAAATGTGACCATAAAGGAAACAGAAACTTAAGAGAACTCAGAAAACCAAAAAAACCCTAATTATTAATAGTATGCTAACATACTCAGATGAAGTAACAATCCAAAATTAAAAAGTAGGTGTTGAGCCAGGCACAGTGTCATGCACCTGTAGTCCCAGCTACTCCAGAGGCTGAGGCGGGAGGATTGCTTGAGCTCAGGACTTCTGGGCTGCCCTATGCTGATTGGGTGTCCACACTAAATTTGGGATCAATATAGTGACCTTCCTGGAGTGGGGGACCACCAGGTTGCCCAAAGAGGGGTGAACCAGCCCAGATCAGAAACACAGGAAGTTAAAACTCTCGTGCTGATCAGTAGCGGGACCACACCTGTGAATAGCCACTGTACTTCAGCCTGGGCAATATACCAAGACTTTGTCTCTTAAATAAATAAATTCTTTAAAGTAGGTCTTGAAATTAAAAATAAGAAACTGTCAAAATTATAAATCCAGTTGAAGTGTTGAAAGATAAAGTCAACAAACTATTAAAGAAAATAGAAGTAATATACCAAGAGATGGAAATTACAAGAGAAAATATGAGAAAGAATCCAATAATACTAACATTACACAAGAATGAGAAAATGAAGTAAGTGAAGGACAGAAAATTACCCCAAAAATAAGAGAAGAAAATTTCCCAGAGCTGAAAGTATCCACTAGTAGAGAACAAAAACAAAGAAAAAAAATTTAACCTTGTGAAATATTAGAACTCTAAAGATAAAGAGAAGATTCTAAATTTCCAAAGAGAAAAAAAAAAGTGGCCCTTAAAAGAAAAGGAATCAAACTGGCATTAGAATTCTTACTGCAGCTGGATGTGGTGGCTCACGTCTGTAAGTCCAGCACTTGGGAAGGCTGAGGGGAGAGGATCAATTGAGGACAGGAGTTCAAAACCAGCCTGGGCAGCATAGGGAGACCTTGTCTCTACCAAAAATTTTAAAAATTGAAAAATAGAATTCTTACCAGAAACACTAGATATGTGAAGAAAACAGACAAAAGCCTGCAAATTTATGAGGGAAAATATTTTGAAGTTCAAGTTATAAAAAATTTTTTTTCATGCAAAGCTCCATTCTTAGCTGAGTTATCATTAATTTAAAAAGCAGAATGAAAACACTTTCAAATATGCAGGGACTTATGAAGGTAACCTCCAACATAACCTTTTTTTAAAGAGCTACTTAAAGATATGTTCAAGCAAAATGAGGGAGAAAACAGGGTGTCTGACTACATCATGTCCAGTAATCAGTAGATCCAATTCAGGAGACAGTAGAGGGAAGTCCCAAGAGCTAGGCTACATTGGAATGGAAGGATAGGAGTTCTGGGAGATAAATATCCTGGAAAAGAGAGAATTCAAAGGGGATAATTAAATACTACAATAGAAAGCTTAGGAAATGCTGCTTTGGAGGGTTCCAACGTTTAGACCCAACCTGTTAATAAACTATTATCTTGATATAGTTAAAACAGTTTGTAAATTATACTAATGATAACAATATAATGGTAAAAGTACAGCTGACAGTTTAAGATCTAGAAGATGAAGAAAGATAAAGGTAAAGGTAAAAGCATTCAAGAGATTATGTGTATAGTTGATGGAAACAGAAGTGGTTGTTAAAATATACTGCAAGAAGGCCGGGCGCGGTGGCTCACGCCTGTAATCCTAGCACTCTGGGAGGCCGAGGCGGGCGGATTGTTTGAGCTCAGGAGTTCGAGACCAGCCTGAGCAAGAGCGAGACCCCGTCTCTACTAAAAATAGAAAGAAATTAATCGGCCAACTAAAAATATATAGAAAAAAAAAAAATTAGCCAAGCATGGTGGCGCATGCCTGTAATCCCAGCTACTCGGGAGGCTGAGGCAGTAGGATCGCTTGAGCCCAGGAGTTTGAGGTTGCTGTGAGCTGGGCTGATGCCACGGCACTCACACTAGCCTGGGCAAAAGAGTGAGACTCTGTCTCAAAAAATATATATATACTGCAAGAAGTTGGAAATGTGACAAGTGGAGGAGCAAGGAATTATACAGGCTGTACTGAGAGGACCAGAGGACACAAGATACAGGGTTTATCATTAAGCTAAATCATAATCTAAGTAGCTCATCAAGAAATAGGGACAAAAGACTTAATATTGTTAAGATGGCAATACTCACCAATTAGTTTTACAGATTCAGTGCAACCACTAGCAAAATCACAAGCGCCTTTTTTAAATTTTTTGCAGAAATTGACAAGTTGATTCTAAAATTCATATGAAAATGCAGAAGATCCAAAATAGCCAAAACAATCTTGAAAAAGAGCAAACTTGGAACATTCATACCATCTCTATTTGAAAACAGAATACAAAACTGTGGAAATCGAGATAGCGGGGTTTTGCAATAAGAAGGGACATATAGATTGGTGGAATACAACTGAGAGTTCAAAAATAAACGCATACATTTATTGGCAGTTGATTTTCAACGAGGATACCAAGCTAATTCAATGAAGAAAAGAATTGTCTTTTCAACAAGTGATGCTTGAACAATTGTCTATCTACACGCAAAAGAATAAAGTTGGACCTCTACCTCACATATATAAAAATTAGTTCAAAATGACTCAAAGACCTAAATGTAAAGCTAAAGCTAAAATACTTAAAATACTCATGGAATAACACATAGGTGTAAATATTCATGACCTTAGGTTAGGCAATAGTTCCTTAGCTATGAAACCAAAAGCACAAATAAAAGAAAAAAATTAACTGGACTTCATCATAATTTAAATTTTTAAAAATTTTTTTATTACTCAGCCTTAAAAAGGAAGGAATTTCTGACACATGCTACAGCATGGATGAACCTTGAAGACATTACACCAAGTAAAATAAGCCAGCCACAAAAGGATACATATTATATAATTACATTTTTATCAGGTACCTAGAGTAGTCAGATTCATAGAGACAGAAAGTTTAATGGCAGTTAGCAGGGGCTTGGGTGAGTGGGGAAGAGGGAGTTAGTATTTAATGGGTATGGAGTTTCAGTTTGCAAAGAAGAAAAATTTCTGGAGATGATAGTAGCAATGGTTACAAATCATTGTGAATGCACTTAATGCCACAGAACTGTACACTTAGAAATGGTTAAAATGGTAATTTTTATGTTATGTATATTTTACCATAATAAATAAATTTTTTAACAATTTTGTGCTTCAAGGACACTGTTATGGACTGAATTTTGTTCTTCCAAAAGTCATATGCTGAAGCCCTAACTCCTAATGTGACTATACTTAGAGATAGAGCCTTAAAGCTGTAATTAAGGTTAAATGAGGTCATAAGAGTGGGGCCCTACTCCAACAGAACTGGTGTCCTTGTAAGAAGAGGAAGAGGTTGCAGGGGCATGCACAGAAAGAAAAGACTGGGAGGGGCGAGAAGACGACCATCTGCCAGCCAAGGGGAAAGGCCTCAGGGGAAACCAATTTGCTGGCACTTTGGTCTTGGATTTCCAGCCTCCAGAACGATGACAGATAAATTTCTGTTGTTTAAGCTACCCACAGTGTGGTATATTATTGTGGCAGCCCT